CTATGCCCTCATTTTAATGTCGCTACATTTTTGAGCAGGTTTGTTTGCGGTGGCGCATCCCAGAATAGACTTTTCCAAAGCTAAAAACTCTGTCCATCGCTTTATCCTTGGCAGATATATAGCAGATATGAGTCATTTAGCACTACTTTCATCTTCAACTTCTTGGGAAAGTGCTTGAGAAGGCTAATCTTCAGGACTAACAATCCTCCATGCTTCCTAGAACCCCTCGCTGGTGCCAATTGACCTGTAAGGATAGAACTACTGGCGCAAGCATCATCCGGCTTATATAGGTCGTTGTGTAGGCCAATTCATCCGTCCGGATGGCTCTACGATTCTCCTGAATCGATGGCCGTGTGCTCCTAAAAAGTATTGATCAACACCAAACACGATGTTCCTTTTTTTACTGCCCCCATTTCTTCTCCTATCACCACTCGACACATGGTCTTTTTCCCATCTATTCCCATTTCCGCAGTCACATCACTCTTCATCCGCACCTCTTCTACTCTACATCTATCCATTAGAGAGCCCCATGTACTATGGTTTACTAGTAGACAAGGCCATAGTATACGCTTTTCCCGATGAGCATCTGTTTAGAAGGAGCTGATGCCAATACGAAACTTCAAAGTCTAGACTTTCTACACTTTCTCCATATCATCCCTCATACCTCTCTACTCAAACCTGTTTTTCCCCATTTTTACTGTCATTTTTACTTTGTGCCCAGTTAGGTCCTCTTTTCAGTCCTCAGTCCCTCACTTATCTAATAGTTGACGGTGCTGCTCATTACCCATTATGATCAGGTCGCAGTGGTCAACGATTCCATATCGTCTTCCACCTGCAGTGTCCATAGAAGGGAATCTCTTCCAACCCAATGGCTTTTTCATTTCCTTCAGGGTTCGGGACGGTATCGAACTGACTCGAAATTGAACTCGAACTGGTCCATAGGTAACAATCGGGGGCATTAGCTAGGATGGATGTCGAAGACTGGGCTTGCGAACCGTATAGGTGTCTCAAAATGAGTGGTTCGCTTCAATATTTGTCGGTAAGAAGAGGAAATAAGAAGACGAGGATAAGGAAGAGGATAAGGAGGACAGAGTGGGAGGACCGCTGCTTGTGCTCACGATTATTTCGAATCACGGGATCTTCATCGAGAGTAGACATCTTTTCTCCCTGGGGAGCGCCGATTTTGTGTCGTATGATGTAATTATCGTGTTTTCGACATGAGAGTTATGAGCCAAAAGGATCTAGGGGCGTGACGCGCTGTAGCATATCCAGGCTTTCCAAAAAGCGAGCGCAGTTGGAGCCATTCAAAGTTCAGACTTGACGAATTGCGGGCTGCTGGCGACGTACCGCCGCTCGCTCGCGCAATCGTTGACTCATCGCATCCCCTAATACCTTCCTAGTTACCTAGGCTGCGGCATTTTCTAGCTCTGACTCCTGGCCATGCCAAACTATGACCACGTTGAGCTTGCGTCGTCTTTATTGGTGCGCCGTACATATTGCAGGTTTTCTCTGGCCGTCTGCTGTCTCTTCTGCCTCGATATCGTAATTTTTAACTTTATTATTATTTATCATTGTTGTTATTTATCTTTATTCATTATTACCACTATTTATTTTCTTTATCACAAAACCCTCGATCTGCAGAACTTATCCTGTCTGAGTTTGTCAGCATATTCTCGTCGTGGGGCGATAGATCGACCTAGCTTTGCGGTAGGCGTCCCCAACGGTCAGACGTGCACCCCAGTGACTAAGAACTGAATTCGATAAC